GAAGATTCTGGATTGAACAGCTTCATCATAAAGAAAGCAATTTACATCAACTGTACAGTACACGGAATAAAAGCCAAACAGCACTCTGTTCAGACCAGAGGAATGTCTTCGTATCTGCACCAAAACACATAAAAACACAATCTGCCAGACAGATAAGGAGGCAGAGTGGAAAACAATGGCAGCGAGGTATCTGAAAACTGAAATGGAAAGCTTGAAAGGCTATCACGGGTTATCTGAGCCCTTTTAACCCCCCCGGCTTAATCATGAGCAAATTAAATGAACGTGTGGTTGTGGGCTTTAATTTTTTCCACTCAGCGTACAATCAAACAACTCAAAGGTAGCAGCTCTCTGTTTTCAACATCCACTGAAAATGATAAAGACATGAAGTGTGATTAGAAAGCGACACTTTGCAGTTTTAATAGCCTGCTATCACAGTTCAAACACTGGCTAGCAGCTTCTAGATTTCAGCAAACTAGATGATGGATTATCAGAATGTTTTATGGACATTATTTTTTTTTTTCTATGCAGCAGATAGCGGCAGCAAACATGTCCTCTTGCATTATTAACAAAACAATTGGGCTAAAAAATCACATGCAAACCAAACCTCACCGGCCACTTTATTATGTCCACCGTGTTAATAACATGTTGGATCACTTGTTGCCTTCAAAACTGCAATAATTGTTCATGTTGTACATTCAACAAGTTGCTTGAAACTTTCCTTAAAGTGCAAGAAGAAAAATAACTGTAGATCAGAAACATGCAGCTCTGGAACCAGACATACCTGCAGATAGGACTGAACTCAAACTGCAGTGGTTGCACATAAATGCATTGTGGGAGTAAAGTAGCGGTGCTCATTGCATCATGGGAAGTCCTGCAGCAGCCTCAGCCTTTAATAGCATAACTAAGGGATAAACTATAAGCTTTGTTAAAAGGAGAGAAGGTGTCTGCCTCCTGTAGCCAATCTGGAAGCTGCTTCCACAGGAGAGAAACCTGACAGCTGGTTTTGGAAACTCTCGGAACCACAAATAAGTCTGCACTCAGAAAGTGAAGAGCTCTATTGGAATAATTTGGTCTTTAAGGTACAATGGAGGCTTTGGGAGCCGGGCTGCGGGGTTTGTGGGCAGCACCTTTGGGATGCCACTCTTCTGCTCCACCACATCCCAAAGGTGCTCCGATGGGTTGAGATGTGGTGTCTGTGGAGGCCATTTAAGTCATGTTCACGAAACCGGTGGGAGATGACAGGAGCTTCTGTGACATGGTTATCAACCTGAGAGTGGCCATAAAAAGATTGGGTAACTGTGGCCATAGAAAGCATGGACATAGTCAGCAGCAATATTCTCGGGTGTGTAAGGATCCTCAGTCGATACAAAAGTTCCAAAAATGTGCCGACAAAGCCAAGACATCCATCCTTAGCAGGCTAAGCAGGTCATTCCAGACGCCCCTCTCTCCAGCAATGTTTCCACTTCCTCTGTGGGCATCTCGAGGGGTTCCCGGGCACGATGAGACGTGTAATCCCTCGTCTGGGGTTTCCTTCCAACAGATCATCCCCAGAAAAACCTCATAAGATGTTGAACCACCACCTCAGCTCGATCCTTTTGACATGAACTCCACTCCGAACTCCCTCCGTAAGTCCGAGATCCTCACTCCGTGATCTCGTTCTTTGGGTCACTGAACTCTTGACTCACCTTAAACTCTTGTGAAAATACCTTTAAATCAAACATTAAATGTATTTAACTGAAGATGAAGATGAACTTGCTAAACTTGCTTCACTCAAATGGACAAAAAAACTGAAGAAGGAATGAAAACACGCTTTGTTTGGAAACACTGTGTCCTTTAGATTGTTCCATTTCTAAATGTCTGTCTTGTGTTAATGATTAATACTCAACCTAGAAAGACATAAAGCTCAGGTTTGACATTGTATATATGTTATAAAGTTTGGCTAGAATCCTGGGGACTGTTAGGAAAAATCATTTCACAATGCTACAGACTGTGAAAGAGAGAAAAGATAAGAAAGGTAAGTACCAAAGTTAGTCTGGAGCTTTGATTTCGAATTGCAGCCAGGAAGAAAGAAAAGAAAAAAACCGTTTAGCTTCATAAAATATTGTTCCTTTTGATTTTCCTTGAGTATCCGTATTACTGCTTTTGAGTTAGTGGTTATTTTTTCCGATGCAAGTCTATAAATTACGCTAATAAAAGAGCGAAAAAGGGGTTTTATGCCAAGTAGAGTGTAAAACGCAGGCCTGGAGGTTAGTAAACAGATTTTACGACTGCAAATGTACAAAGCTGAGTTTTCTGAATAATTCTATTTGGACAAAGTCGCATGTTGCTGTTGCCATGAGTGCAGATTTCAGGGGGAGGCAGGAAAGATGGCCCCTCGATGTTTAGAACACATGCATTTGTCCACCCCAGTAACAACAAGAAGAAGGAAGGGACTGCTATAAGGTTTACTCATAGATCCAACATCGCCTCCATCAGAGGCTTTTCTGTTTTTTCTTCAACATACTGAACACAGATTGTGGGTTTGTGTCAATTCAGATGCAATTCAGGAAACGTGTCACCGCACAGATTCAGATTTTACTTATTTGTTATTTGAGATGGGGCTGCAAGGTGGCGCAGTTGGTAGCACTGTTGCCTCGCAGCAAGAAGGTCGCTGGTTTGCGTCCCGGTGGAGTCTGCGTGGAGTTTCCATGTTCTCCCCGTGCAGCGTGGGTTCTCTCCGGGTTCTCCGGCTTCCTCCCACACAGTCCAAAAACATGTTGAGGTTAATTGGTGATTCTAAATTGTCCGTAGGTGTGAATGTGAGTGTGCTTGGTTGTCTGTCTCTAAGTGTAGCCCTGTGATAGACTGGTTACCTGTCCAGGTGAACCTGCCTTCACCCTGAGTCGGCTGGGATAGACTCCAGCCCCCCATGACCCTAGTGAGGATTAAGCGGTGTATAGATAATGGATGGATGTTATTTGAGATCAAAATCTAAGTTCTGTCAAATATTTTGGCTTAATTTTGAGACTTTTCCATGATTTCAGACGTGGCATTTTTTTTATTTTTGTAGTTTCATTTTCAAATAAGCATCTTAACTGTGATGCTATTTTAAGAGTTCAGTCTCTCCAGAAATATAACTCCTACAGACTTAAGGTTTAGGGAGGACACGCACAATATTATTTCCAGTAGATCTAAATGATTGAATGGCTCCACGAGAGGCCAAATTTTTAATTACTGGCGCAACATTTTCAAACAAGGCTGACATTGTGGGCCCAGAAAGTTCCTTTAATTGTATATATATGAATGTATGCATAGTTCCCACTAAAAATACAATCTTTTCATGACATTTCACCAACGTTTAAGGCTTCTAACATCAGTTCAGTTTAATTTATGGTAAAAATAGCAAGGCAAGGTCCTAGTTTTTCTATTTTGAAAAGCCCAAATGATGATGTGGACTCATTTGCAGGACCAAAAAAAATCTGGTGATCATAGGAATCTATATATCGACATTATGTGTTTAAAAGACAGAAGCTTCTTCAGTTTTGTCTTCATGTTGAAAATTTACCAATATGACTTTTTATTGAATATTCTCATATATATAAGTGAAACAAAGATTGCCAGGTCTGAAAACATATAAAATTCTGAACATTACAACACATATTTTAGTTTTCAGTCTGAACTCTGAACATTAAAATCTGATGTGATGGTGATAGAACACCACCATCTGAAAGAAAGACACGAACATGAGCTATTAAAGTCAATTACTCTGTCAGTGCTGTGAAAAGGAGCCGCGCTCACATGTAGAGCTAAAAGGTTGTTTCTTCAAAACACAAAGACACAAATGAAGACTTTATGTCTTTTAGAAGATGCTGTAATAATTTAACGATCAAATTCTAACAAAATCATCAATATTACAGATCAGTTGTGCTGACTTTGTTCGAGAAAACAGCTGGTCTAATAATTGATTCCCAAACTGCATGTATGGATCATTTTAAATGAGAAAAACGGATCCACAGGAGAATACATTTATTAGAGCCTGACTGTGTTACATTGCTTTATATTTTAAACTGTCGCCTGTGTTTTTCTTCACATAAATAAAGACAGTTTCACCATGAATTGAACAGGTAAAGGCACAAAGTGTTGCAGCTTTCTTCCAACATGCCTTAGATTGGTGCACAGCTTTGAAATACGATTATTATTATTATTATTACCCTTTTGCACATTTCAAGTTGTTTACATCAGATATTGTGCAACCTTGCATATTCTAAAACGATTAATTTGCACATTACTGCACATTACTGCACACTGGAAGTATTGCTGTTGCTTTTTATGACTTCTGACGCCTTGATAGTGTCTGCTGTCTTGCAACAGTTTATTAGTGTTTACTGTTATGCACTAAAGCACCAAAGATTCCTTGCAGGTGAAAACCTATTTGGCAATAAAACTGATTCTAATTCTGATAATAAAATCTAAATTTCCTCAACACCTGCCCTTGTGGCTGCTTTCTCATGGTTTTCTTACTATCGTGATTATGAATTGTATGATCAAGTAGGAGGAAGTTGCAGATAAAAAACTAACAAATAAAAAACAAACATCCTGCATGTCCTGCAGACACTTCCTCCTGCACATAGAGAGACATCTATCATAAATTAGGAGCTGTCTTTGCACAGCTGCAGTTTTACCCCTCATCGATCACCCAGGAGTGATTAGTTATTTCTAATACGTGATGCAGCTCAGGCTGCTTGGAGAGGAAAACCCAGCGAGGCTGCAGATCTGAGCAGAGCTGAGGAGGCTGTTCCTGCAGGCAGGGCGTCCATAATCAATGACCAAACTCAGCAGCCAATCACAGGGCTCATGCTAATACGGAGCCTTTAAACCCTCTGGACCTTCCTTATGAATCGGTTCTTTGCAGACTGACCGGATTTCAGCGGCGCGCACCGGAGGAGGAAGCTGCAGATCCCAACTTGAGACTAAAACTTTTTTTTCATTTTCCTTCAAGATCGACGTCCGGACCTGCTCTGTCTGTCTGTCTCTGTCTCTGTCTCTCCGCCGCCTCTCAGGAATATCTGGTTTTGTTTTCCTTTTTTTTTTCTTAGCTGAGGACAGAAGATCCAGAGCTGAGCTGAACTAGGAGAAGAAAAAAAAAAAAAAGCGCTCAATCGTCTTTCTGCTCGTTTCTACTTTTTTCTACTGGGGGGGAACTTAAAAGTTGACATCATCGCCATGTCTGGGGATCGGAGGTTCTGCGTGTTGTCTTGGGATCAGGTGCAGCGTTTGGACTCGATCCTGGGGGAGGCTGTTCCCATCCACGGCCGGGGAAACTTCCCCACTCTGTCCGTGCAGCCCCGGCAGATTGTCCAGGTACAAACCAGCACTGAACACACTCCAGATTCTCCTCTTAAACCAGAATGTCCCGTTTTGTTCTTACATGCGTGGTCAGAAACACTTGTACATTTTGATGCACATTTAAATATCACACCTGCAGATGGAGAATCTATGGACCTTTTCTTTTTTTTAAAACAAACAAACCAAAAACACTATTAAACCTGAATTCAACATTAATTTATGTTCCTTGAACTCCCTGTAAACCCCTCAACGACCTCTGCTGGTCTCCAAATCTCACTTTTAGAGTTTTCCTCAGGAATTATCCTTCATATGCTCCTTAGACCAACTTCCTCTCTCAATTATAATTACATTTAATTCAATTTGTTGTAATCTGAAGATTCGACTTTGCATTTAAAAAACAACAACACTGCTATTTATTCCTAAAACGTTTAGTCTCAAACCTTTTCTGTAACTCTGATAAAATGACTTTTCTCCTTTACTATGTGTGAAATTAAAATTTAAAGTCACAGACACTCAAAATGAAAAGGCATTCTTTGTGCTCGTTTGTGTCCATCGTATTCAAAAAGCCAGACAGGCTGTACATCTCTCCTGGTTTGACCTGCGATACACATGGAGCAGACAGATGCCAGATCCACATCTCCAGCCTTCTTTCTGTGCATTGTGGCCGGATCATGTTTCACTTCCCCCTGCGGTGTCCCTGGATAGTTGGCTGTGCATTAAAGTGCAAAGAAAATGGCATGTTAGAATTTCCAAATGCACACACACACACACACACACACACACACACACACACACACACACACACCAGCCAGTACATGGTTTTTCCATTTCATTTACACATCGACATGTTCGAGTTGCAAGCAATGTTGAATGCTTGTGGAAAGACGAACGCTCCGTTGAACTTATGTTTCCTCAGAATTTGTGGAAATCCTGCATAAGTTTTGCTCCAATCAGCCATCTGCCAAATAGACTCATTTAATGGAAGGACGGACATCGATCGGCCATGAACACCCCTGCCGTGATGGTTATATTGAGTTTTGGTGATGTAGCTGCGTGCTGTGAATCACAGGAGTTATGAGTGAGAGTGTGGACCTTTGTCCTGCTGCAGGTTCAGAGGGATAAACTGGCTGTGAGCATCCCCTGCTGCATCACAAAGCACTGCAGTCCAACAAGGTGCTGTAACCTCAGATTAAGATAACGGCAACCTGCCATCCTCAATTGCTTCACAGCTCAGACCTCATGAATGAACCACACTCTGTTACACAACTTCTTTATACCTTGTAGTCATATTTTTTTGCTGGACTCTCGTTTTTGGATTTGACTTGAAGCCAGTAGAGTAATACTTCCAGTGCTTCCAGACACACTCGCCCGTATCCAAGCATCTACCCCGACACATCGCCTCAAAAGCCACATTATCGCTGCTGATTGGAATTTGAACCCAAACTGCAGCACTTTATGGCTCAGTGATTACAAGGCTCTCAAATTATAATTTTGTTCCCGTACCAGGGAGATGGGTTTACTCAAATGTTTGCTCGTCCATAGACCTGACCCAGTATGTATAAATAGAGCCGTCATGTTATCTGATCACCATGGGAGAGCGAGTTAACGGACGCTAATCTGACAGGTCAGTGCCAGTAGGCAGATTTAGGATTGGCGCGGGTGTCTAACGACTCATTTGTACTGCTGGGTTTTACCTTTTCAATTGTCTGACGCTTATGGGCACAAATTCACAACCCGCTGTGACCGAGAGACACTGAATTAACACGACAAACTGCTCAAATGACCTGCCAGATGTAAGAGCTTGTAGAGTCCACTGAACAGTCTGACCGCTTCCATTTTTATGTCACGTCTCCCTTCAGCTTGAATGCCTTATTTCAGGACTCAGACATGCTTCCTTTTGCACCTAATAGCAGCGATGAGTCTGTCTGCGGATCCACACTAAACTCGATTCCTGTGTTTAAACATTTTGCAGGTCACTGAGGAAGCTGACCCTTAGTGACCTCAGGTCGTGCCTTTAAGCCTCAAGGTTTTTATTTGTGATCCTGCACAGACTTGGTTACAGATCAGGAGTATAAATCTTGTGACTTTGATAAGGTAAGACGTTGTGACGCAGAGGGAGACGGACCTGGAGCACAGACTTGTCATCTCGGCAGCTATTTTTGGACTCTTTAAGGTTTCATTCAGACTGATGCTGATGGTGGTGAAATGGACTTTAGTGAGCAGTGGTATTGATCGTGCCTTCACAGACTATTGATTCCCAGTAGGGCCATGTGGAGCTTGTTTGGACATATTTTAACTGACTTTGGTCTCTTTTGTGTGTGTCATTTCCGCAGCTACACAATCTCTTAATTTTCTTAATAGAAGTTCTTAACTATATTGTGTATCTGTGTCATCCTCGTCCAGGTGGTGCGAGCGAGGCTGGAGGAGCGAGGCATTTGCGTGAAGGACGTGAGGCTGAACGGTTCGGCTGCCAGCCACGTGCTCCATCAGGACACCGGACTCGGCTACAAGGACCTGGACCTGATCTTCGGCGTGTCGCTGAAAGACGACCAGGCCTTCCGTCTGGTGAAAGACGTCGTGCTGGACTGCCTGTTGGACTTCTTGCCAATTGGGGTCTCGAAGGAGCGCATCACGGCACTGACCCTGAAAGAGGCCTATGTACAGAAACTGGTGAAAGTCTGTAATGACACGGACCGCTGGAGCCTCATCTCGCTGTCCAACAACACGGGCAAGAATGTGGAGCTTAAGTTTGTGGACTCTTTACGACGGCAGTTTGAATTCAGTGTGGACTCCTTCCAGATCTGCCTCGATTCTCTGCTCCTGTTCGACCGCTGCTCGGAGACACCCATGTCCGAGAGCTTCCACCCCACCGTGATCGGGGAGAGCGTGTACGGGGACTTCAAGGAGGCTATGGAGCACCTGTGTCAGAGGACCATAGCGACACGCAGCCCCGAAGAGATCAGAGGGGGCGGCTTGTTGAAGTACTGCCACCTGCTGGTGCGAGGGTTCAGGCCCTCCTCGGATGCGGACATGAAGCAGATGCAGCGCTACATGTGCTCGCGCTTCTTCATCGACTTTCCGGACATTGGCGAGCAGCAGAGGAAGCTGGAGGCGTACCTGCAGAACCACTTTGCCGGCATGGAGCACAAACGGTACGAGTGCCTGATGACTTTGCATCACGTGGTGAACGAGAGCACCGTGTGTCTGATGGGCCACGAGCGGCGCCAGACGCTCAGCCTCATTTCCATGTTGGCACTGAAGGTGCTGGCCGAGCAAAACGCCATCCCCAACGTCACGAATGTCACGTGCTACTACCAGCCGGCGCCGTACGTGCAGGACATCAACTTCAGTAATTACTATATCGCTCATGTTCAGGCGCCGCAGGTGTCGCCGTGCAGCGCCTCGTATCAGACGTGGCTGCCCTGTAGCTGAAGCAGCGCGAGGAGAAGGGCAGAGGTTGGTGTGTCTCCATTGCTCTTTCAAAAGAAAATGGACTGAAAACACACAAGAAAGAAACCCATGTTTGCCAAATGTGACTTGACTGAAACAATCTTGTACTGCTGTACATCTGATTGAGCCGACACGTTAATTTTTTCTCTCACTCTCTTGCAAAAACATCTATAAGATTGCTGGTCATTTCAAGATGTAGCGATAGTATCTTATTTAAGTATTAAAGAAAAAAAATAAAGAAAAATGAGTCTTTAAAACTTTATATATGTCAGAAATACATTTTTGAGGAAACAAACATTGAAGCTGGTGTTATTTTCATACTCTGGCTTTATTTTTTTAAAATTACATGCTGGACCAAAGATGTATTTTGTTGTTCAGAAAGGGAATGTTGTCATAATTCCAAGTGCCTAAAGTGAACCACGAAACGTTCTAAAAACATCTGTAAAGTGAGAACTGTGCATTCAGTGTTTTCTAGATTACTCTGTCTCTCTTTTCAGGAACAGAAGCATTCATTTTTGCGAGATTAAAAAAGGAAAAACCCCAGTTTTTTTGTATTGTGGTTATTTTATGTTAACTTTGGCCTATAATGATTGTTGACATTTTAATCTTTGGTTCTAAGGGCTGCAGTTTAGCTTAAAGTGGTCATTATCTGAGCTGCTTCAACATTCGCACAGTCAAGAGTTGTGTATTGTCACGTGGCCACCATAAACTGCATGCTTTCATTAAATGTGAGAAGCTTTGGCTAAAAACTGACGCATACATTGACACAGATTGTTCTGCTCTGTATGGATGGGATGGATGTTTTGTTGGTCCTATAATTGATGACAATAAGTGGGTTCATTTCCAGTAACCAGCCCTATTGAAATGCATATACTGCTGCCTGGAGTGAGTTGCAGTTGTAAAACCGGGTCTGAGGATCCATTACAAACTGAGGACATGAACCATAAGGAGGCTTTTCTAAAGCACAATGGCTTCTCTCTCTTCTGTGATACTAAAGCTTTTTAACAAAGACTGGCTTGTTCTCCCACCCATGCTACCACTGGAAACCCAGCCCCGTTTGCTTGACTGATACTATATCCATGTCATTTTGTCGGAGTCCAAATCAAAAATCTTTACAGACAAACCCACAGTGCTGAAGTTTGTGAAAAGACTGAGATTGGGAATGACACGGCTCATATAGATTATTAGCAGATCTTGGAGTCGGTGCTGCTCGCATTCGGGCCAATAATTACATCTGCTCTGAAAGCTGAGAACAAAAAATACGGCTCATTTTCCCTCATGTGACTCACTCATTAATTCCGTCTGAACTCTCCACATTGATGTTGAATGACGGCGTCAGAACTGTGGTATTATTGAAGGCTATAAATGCACAGCCCTATCTTTGCATAAATCTGTTAAATGTAGGGTACCAGTGTTGGTCACAGTGTCAGTTCACTGGAGGAACACTGTTGGAGCCAATATAAAGTTTCTAAAATGAAATTCGTTCACTTTTTTTTTTTTTTTTTTTAATCATATTCTCTTGCACACATGTGGCCCAGACCCTCAGAGAGATGTGTCCAAAGCCTCTAACCTCTAATTTAGGTCCAGTGCAGCCTGGAATTTGTGCTAGTCAGAAGTTATTAGATTAATCAAGAAAATAACCAACAGATAATACAGAGCTTATGAGTTGCAGCCCTGCTGGACAATAAATCGAACCGACTTGAGGATATCCATACTAAATGATGGTTTGAAGACAAATGTCTGAAATACGGTAGCAAAGACTTTGAAGGGGGTCGCCGTTTGTTGAGAGTGAACCAAAAATCCCGTTAGTGGGTTTGAAATTTATGCTATATTATAAAAAAAGTAGCCAAAATTACACCATTTAGTCAAAAAACAGAAAGTACTGTCAGATTTCAGACTTTCCAACAGCCTTGAACTAATCATTTGTGGTGTGTGGTTCCATCTGGAAAATTAATCAAACACGTTTAGAATCATCATAGTTTGTGAAATCACTTTACACGTCTCTCAAAAAACAGAAAAAAAACCCAAAAAAGTTTATACAAGGTGCCGTAAAACACACAAAAAAATCAGTTTTTCGGTGCAACCAAGAAGTCAAGAATGACTCGGCTGTGACCAACAATCATGTGACCAAAAAATCAGGGACGTTTTGGATGAACTGCAGGCAGTGTTAGCACCAAGTAGTCGACAAACTTTTGGAAGATGCATTCAGCATGGTGAAGCACCCTTTCAAAGTTGATGTGCAGAGTAGCATGACTAACAGCAGGTTTGTAGAGGTAGCAAAAATACAAATAGAAAAATATTCACAGTATGTGGAGCCCTAATCCTTATCCGCAGTATTGGTTTCACCCGTGGGCACTGGGAAAAATGCTGAACATGGCGGTTCCAGGACTTTCCAATTTCTGTAAGTTAAATAATCAAATGGCATTATAGACTTGCTACACTCCAAAAACAAAATGTCTTTCAGTTCTCTCTTCTTCTAGTCATGGTTGTACTATTTCCATCGAAGCGCAGGATTTTATATTGCAGTGAAAAATGAACCCAGACTGAAGTTAAATGTTTTGGGAGCTCACGGGGTTCAGAGGGTTAAACATCACTTTTTAAAATTAATCTCAGCATATATGAGATGATTTGGACAGTTCCTCTAAAAGATAACAAAAAATGTCTAATATTGCACCCACCTTGGTTGGTTGTGCTGTAGCATTACTTTATTGTGCTTAAGGGGTGAACGTTCCCAAACAGACTGTTTATCAAACGACCAAACCAAGTTCATGCAGTGAATCTGTGGTTTCTGAAGCACCTTTCAGTCTGGGGCAGCTGCTGGCTGTCCAGCCTCGTTTCCTACAGTAACATTAGTCAGTATTTGAACATGGTTCATTTAGATTCATTATCGTGGATGTGATGTAGTCTTTTCCATAATTGTAGCTCCTTGAGTGGGATCACTAGAGATTGGATTTAATAGACCAACAAACTTCATGATGCCAGTTTAAGGTCGCGACCTCTTTGTGATGCTGGATTTAGACGTGTGACTGACAGTGTGTTGCCTCATGGGCTTTTAACAGTTTCTCTGCCACAGCTGTGATGTACCCGATAGTTTATGGAAACTTTGAGCGCTTGTTATTCACTGTCTTCTTCAGTGTTTATCCCTGAACATGATTATCTTTTGTTCCACTTTTCAACGAAGGCTAAAAACTCTTGAGGAACAATGAGATGAAATGAGCTGAAGGCTTCTTCTGGGTGTAACTTATCAGTGAGCAGACTGAAAATGGGTTCTAGCAGGTCCACAGCCTGTTCTGGATCGAACATCCTGGTTAATCTATCATAATCACTGGTTCTGTTTGTATTGGAGCACTATGTGTGTTTTTCAGCTGCTAGTGTTTAGCAAAAGGTACCAACATTATTCCAGAGTGCTCACTGTGTTTGTGCAACAGTCAAACTGAAACTCAATCATTTTTATGGTTTTTGGTCAGTATTAATTGCTAGACCAACATGGTTTGATTGGCTCTGAGCTGAAACCCTGGTCTGTTTACGATATTAAAAAAAAAAAATTAGATTTTAAAGTAATGTCACTCTGCACTGCTGATGGGTTTAACAGGAAAGCAGGCAGCAGTACGTGAACAAAGAGACGATTAAAATGATTTTATCAGCTGCCATGTCTAGATGACTGAGGTGGAAATTTTATCCGAGGGATAATAGTGTAAAATCTCTGAGACATTTAATTTGGGCTTTAATTTGGAGTATGTGTGTGGGCTGAGGTTCAGTGCACACGTCTGTGTGAAACCAGGGTGATGACAGGACAGAGACGCAGTAATGACAGAGATTTCACAAATTTCTTGCCACAACACAAATCTAACTCACCCCGGACTGGTATGTGTGCTATTACCTCTCCTGGGAGACGCTTTATTCACCCAAGGGAGCGATTATAATGCCCCACTCACCCATTATCTGCGGGGAGTTTCTCACTCTGCGCCTCTGTTTGTTGTGTATTCTTTTTCCGTCTTGTCTCCCCTGATGCGAGGCAAACGTTTAAATCCTGATCACACTGGCCTGAGTCAGGATGCAGAGATGTTTTAAATTAAGCCGTACTTGGGAAGCACATGACTGTGTGGATGTGACATCATCCTGAGGGTGCAAAAGGGAAACACATGTCTTCGTTGAAATGCGTGATTGGAGCAAGCTGACGGTGCAGCTTCAGCTGGTGGAGATGTGTGCGCCGCTGTCTGTGTGTTGATGTGTTGCCGGGGTGCAGCGCTGAAATGTGCACAAGTTCATCATGAGTTCACGGTGAGAGAAAAGCCTCCGTACAGCTGTGGCATAGCAACCTCTGCACTGTTTGCAGTAATACTGGTTGGGACTTCAAAGGTCCCATATTGTGCCCCTTTTCAGCAAAATAATCAAAGTCTCACATGCAATCAGAGTGCGTCTTTCACTGTTTCAGCTCAACATCCTGCAAAGATGGTTCATTTCAGTGTGATTGTGCAACCCCTGGTTTTTGCCCTTCTTTAAAGGGGACGTTTCAGCATCTGTAGCTTTAAATACAGCTGAGCTGCTGCTAACCACACCTTCAGGAAGAAGACTCTCTCTGCATGTGAGATTGACGGCACAGAGCAACAGCATGGCAGCTTACAGATGGATTGAGTATCTGAGTAATCATTTTCATGGAAATACCACCACATTCATAGCACAGCAGTTGTTTTTTTATGAGCATCTTCATATAGTAACGGCTTTTTCTTTACACCTCCAAGCTTTTGTCAACCATAAAACTCTATTAAAACTTATTTCCACCATACAGGACCTTTTAAGTTGTTACTATCCATCCATCCATTATCTATACACTGCTTAATTACTACTGAGTGATAATCTTATATCGCCAAAATAAAGCACTGGCTCAGAGATCCGTCATGAATGGGAGAACCAAAGTTGGTGGTTGTATGTCACTTTTCCCACTCCTCCCCTCCAAAAAAGCCAATCGTCTGCAGCCGAGCAGACAGCCAATCCTGTTGTTGGACTGAAGAAATGCGTAATACAAGTATAACCTGTGGGGGAAAAAAAAAAAACCCTTTAAAAACCTTATTTTGGGGCAAAGTTACCAAACTTTTAAAGCGGTTTTCATCATAGTTGACTGGTGACACTCTAACATGCAGTTTTTATTTCCCGGTGTCAATTGAAATTGCAGTTCTGGTTCTCTCCCCATTCATTTACATAGGAGCCTGGTCTTGTTAACCCAAAATAACTGCCCGGGGGCTTTACAAAGAAGGCTTGCGAGTGGCAAAACTTGCCTTTAAGGACTTTGGACATTATCCACTCTGCTTCGAATGGGTTTTTATGAACGTATGAGTTTGAGTTTTTTGTTTACACACCAAAAAAGCTTGTAATCCTTCAACTTAGCTGAAAACATGGAAATCCCCAAAGATGGACACAGAATGAAAACATGGAAACTTGGACAGCGGAGTGGTAATAAATGTGTTTTGGCCTACTTTCCCTGAGTGAGATAGACGTATGTGTCGGCCTATATAGTATATGGGCATTCAGTTTACGCTATAAAC